CACACACACACACACACACACACACACCGTATGAAAATACCCTTTACACACATTGCACGTGATACGAAAATATCCCTCATGTTTTCGAACTCGGTCAGTACAACAGCAAAGCCAAACGCCTCAACCATTACACCATCCCACCACCAATTACATCATTAAAATGATCATTTTAAATATCTAAAGCTTACAGAGTTTTCTAAAACAATTTGAATAAATTAAATTTCATTTTCATTTTAACCGGTGGCTAAATCAGTCGCTGTTATGGTAGAAGGAAGGCCATCTGTAGATTTAAAAAAAATATTGTTTTAACGTTTTAATACAACTATAAATAAATAAATATTTTAATAATTATAGATCAAAATGGAAAAAACAAAATATATTACTTTTTATTTATATAAATATAATTTTTAAAAATGTAAAAATAAATCAGAGAAAAATAACAATTTTTTTACTCTGTGCTAGAGAAAGAGTCAAGTCGTCTAGCAAATCCGCTGGATCTGAATTATCATTACTATTATATTATTCATAATTATTTTATTATTATTACCATCATCATCATCACCATTTTCGTGGTCATCATCATCATCGTCATCATCATCTTCGTCATCATCATCATCATCATCATTTTTGTTACCGAAATTAAGACTGGAAGTTCCATTTGAGTCTGTAAAAGTGATTTGCAATAATAATAATTATCATGCGAGTATGTGTATTTATCCATTCTTTTATTTATTCATTCGCTCACGCATTTATTGTTTAATTGAATCATTCATTTAATCAATTCATCAATCCTTGGCCCATTATTTCATTTGTTGTTTGTTAATTCTTTCATTGATTTTCCATTCGTTTGCTTGTCATTCATTTTTTCATTGATTCATTCATTGGTTAATTCATTCATTCATTCATTGATTCATTGATTCATTCATTGATTCATTCATTGATTCATTCATTGATTCATTGATTCATTGATTCATTGATTCATTGATTCATTGATTCATTGATTCATTGATTCATTCATTGATTCATTGATTCATTGATTCATTCATTCATTCATTCATTCATTCATTCATTCATTCATTCATTCATTCATTCATTCATTCATTCATTCATTCATTCATTCACTCATTCACTCATCGATTCATTCATTCAATGATGCATTTTTATATATTCTTCATTTCAAAAATTGTTATAAAAACAGACTTATTATGAAGCTTGTGATGTTGCTAACTACTCTCTGCAAGGCTAAATTGCTAGAATTTAATCTGTTTTCTTGGTTGAAAAAAATAGTTCATAAAATAATTATAATAATTATATTTTAAAATAATTTAAATAATTATATATATATATATATATGTATATATATAGCTATATATATATATATATATATATGTATATATATATATAACTTCATATATATATATATATATATATATATATATATATATATGTATATATATATATATATAGCTAAGAAATCCGCGCCATTCATTTTCTTTTCTCTCTCTCTTTTTCTGTGTTTGTGTGAGTGTGTGTTTGTTGTGGTGTGTGTGTGTGTGTGTGTTGTTGATACTTCTTATGATTACGACAGATTAATTAAATGTGATTAATTAAATTATTATTTTTTTAAATTATTTATTATTACTATTATCAATTCGAATAAAATATAAAAATTTTATTAACACGTACTCATGAAGTATCGCATTGTGGCCGTCATGACTGATACGACTGCGTTCGAAGGGGAAAGAAAAAATTTAGGAAAAATTATTTAAAATAATAAAGTTATTCGTACAAAATAATAATAATTAACTATTCAAAATGATAAATAAACCTTAATAAAATATTTAATAATTATAATAATAATTCAATTAATTGAAAGAGAGTTTAAAAAAAATTCTAAACCTCCAGATCCACAACAAGTTGAGTTGGTCAGGCAATAACCGTTATAAGAGCAGGTGCTATTATGCTGGAATCAAATTTTTTATTTTTATTAATTATTATTATTATTAGTAGTAGTAGTAGTAGTAGTAGTAGTAGTAGTAGTAGTAGTAGCTGAAGTAGTAGTAATAGTAGTACAGTAAATTACTAATATACTAATACTAACGCATGTAGAGTTCAAGTTGTACCATACATCAAACGTATTATTCTGTTGGAAGATTTTAATTAACTTATAAATTAATTGATCAACTATTTAGTCAATAAATTATGTATTTAATTAACTATTTAATTAATTTTCCGTCAATAAATAAAATATATGAAAAATACAGAAAATATAATGTAACATAATATAACCCAACATAACACAACTAATCGAAACGAAACAGAACGAAACCAGACCAAACACAAAAATAATAATAAAAAAAAACTTGAAACCACCGCGCAGTAGCTGAGTCCGCCACAACAACCACCATCGTATACCGTATACACAACCGAATTAGACTGGCTTAGTACGAATGATTGGTTGCCACTGAAGCTAATGTTTGCCAAGCTAACATTGTACACAATGTAGGAATGATGCTTTGGTAGCTGTGAAATAGCGTCGCAGGAATTGTTGGTGAGGTTTGTCGTCGGGAAAAATTGAGAAGTATTTACTGGGCAGATGATTGTGTCCTTGGAGCTGTCAATCAACGCTGGAGCTGATAAGTAACTGAAGAACTTCATGTCTTCCTGCGATGGATTTTATCATTTGTTGCTGTTGTTGTTATTGTTGTTATTGATAATATTATAACTGTTACTGCTGCTACTGTATAAAGAAAAAGGACGAGAGAGAAAGAGTGGAGAGAGAGAGAAGGAGACAGAGAGAAAGAGAGAGTGGGGAAACAATTAACGTTTAAAATAAATTTAACACAATTTAACAAAATTGAATAAAATTGACCAGAAGGAAACTAAATTTGATAGAATCCAGCTATAATTAAACAGAATTTACCAAAAATCAAACAAAAATTGACAAAAGAAACTCAACAAAACTCAATAGAACCTTGTAAGCCAGGACATGACACATCAGATTGTTAAGGTAGGGATAGTTTTTTGTCGAATTGACGGTAACATTAAGACTGTTGCAATTAGAAACGTCGTTGTAGCTGACGTCGCACGAGCACGGCGACGGTCTCGCGATTATTTGGGGTGGTATGAACTGCGCGTTGACCGTGGAGACTTTTTTGGAAAAAAATTTTGAATTAGTTATTTTTTTTAATAATTATTTTGGAAAAATAATTGAAAATGTTATATTTTGGTTACCTGCTGTTAGAGGTTAATGAGAAAATTATTTTATTTGGTTAGCTTTTGTTGGAAAAAATCAATTTATTTGCAAAACAAATCCCAAAATATTTGTTGATAAGTTTTTATTAGAAAATTTTTAAAAACAATTGTTATTTTTGAGCTATTTATGAGAAATATTTAAAAATCTATAAATAAATTTAGCTTCAAATATCAATATTACATTATTTCAAACCATTAACTTTACAAAATTTTACCCATTGTAGACAGCCATAGTATCAAATTGATGTAATTGAGTTTCATTTCTAAGTAATTCTATTGTTTTACTCGATAATATTCTATTTCTAGAACTTTAAAATTAATTTTTATATATTTTTCTTTATTATATTTAATTTATTTGTCTACTATTTTAGGTGTCTATTTAGCAGCTGTAAACTCGAAAATCAGTTGAACTGAAAGAAAATTATTTTATTTATAAAAAAAAACTTATGATTAATTACTAAATCATTAGGTTTGAAATTTAATTTGGTAAATCATTCTATCATTCACGTTCTAAACCCAGCAAAAGGCCAAAAACTTCAAAACAGAATTAGAAAAAAATGGATTTTCGAAAGCAGCAATGACCACTGGTAGACAGACATGCAACTCTGTGATATACCATTTAAAATGTTTGTTACATTCATGTTGGACAGCGGGTGGTCGCTAACAAAAGTGAATAATTTTAGTAGAAGTAGTAACGTGTCTGTTTGTGTGTGTGTTTGTGCGTACGTGTTTGTGTGTGTGTGTGTGCGGTAGGGGTAAATCGCTATTTCAGTAAATTTTATTATCGAACTATTTGTCTCGTGTCTTTCTTTTTTATTATTCGAATTGATCGTGTTATGTAACACATTTACAAACCAAACACACACGCACACGCACACACACACACACGCACACACACACAAACGAATCTTATTGAGAGCCATAGAAGGTTTTTGGGGGCGTTTAAACATTAGTTTGGTAGGCTTGTAAAGTTAAATTGCAATTAATTTTCTGAATATCTCTCTAGATCTATCTTGAGAACATGGGCCCAAGCTGAGTTGAAGTAGCGATAAAGTTGAATAAAACGTAATATTGAATGAGAATTTGAAAAAAGTAAGAAAAAATATTATGATTAATAATAAAATATCATATCTTGAATCTTGTTTTTCATCATTCCTTAATTCATTTATCCAGACAATTCAGCCATTCATTCATTCATTCATTAAGACATCAAATCATTCATTCATTCATTCATTCATTCATTCATTCATTCATTCATTCATTCATTCATTCATTCATTCATTCATTCATTCATTCATTCATTCATTCATTCATTCATTCATTCATTCATTCATTCATTCATTCATCTACATAACCACTCATTCTTTCGTTCATTCACACGTATATGATATAATCTTATAATCTTTTTTTTTTCATAAAAATTTATATACACATTTGTGAAAAACATTTAGTTACCCAATAATAATAATAATAACTATAAATAATGATAATAATAATGCCTATCTTTTACTCACCATGGTACCTCACGTGCTGGGAGCGTTTAAAAAAATCTTTTGACGACGTGACGTTCAACTTTTTTTAATATTACTATTATTATTTCATCATTAATAAAACTATAAATGATTTATTAATTAACTAATTAATTAAGTTTAAGAATTATTAAGCAACACCGTGGAGAGATTTGAAACGATGTTACCAAAACTTTTTTTACCGAAACAGTGGTGTTTTTTATTGCTAGCCTAGCGAATGATTTGTTATTATAAATTTTTCTCTGCTGAATTAAAGTGGAGAACTTTTGCATTTCGTCAATTTTAGCGCGTTTAAAAGACACTCACGCGAACAATTTCAACTTTTGAGATTGCCTTGTATATAAGGGGCTTACTTACAGCATATTATAAACTCTTTATCTAACTAATGAATGACGCTGATTGAAATAATTTGAAATAATTGAAATAGATTGAAATAATTAAAATAAATTGGAATAACTGGTATATCAGAAAGAAAAAAATATTCATTGAATCTAATTTTATACTGACAACTGAAAAATTTATCGTCGAATTAGTTAAACTAATCTAACTAAGAATGGCTGATAATTATCATAATATTAGGACATCGTGATGTCTTAGTGGTTAGGGCCGCATTGTGCTGTTTTGCAGGGCTTCGAATATGGCAAAAGGATCCCCATACCCACCCTACATGCTTCGTGTATGATGTACCATTTCACATGTTTTTCTACATATGTGGGTTCTTTATTCCTCTGATATTACGAAGAGTATATGTGTGCGTGTGTGTGTGTCGTGTGTGTGTGTCGTGTGTGTGTGAGTGTGTGTGTATGTGTGTGCGTGTGTGTGTGTGCGTGTGTGTGTGCGTGTGTGTGTGTGTGTGCGAGATACATGAAAAAAAATACGAAAAAACTTTCCTCGTTATTTTGGCCACCAGTAAATTAATGAGAGCACCAAAACAAAAACAACAATAATAATAATAAATAATTTTAATTGAAAGAAGGAATTAATTAGAAAAAAAAGAAAGAAAGAACGAATGAAACAACGGAAAAACGTGAAATTTTTTTCCAGTGCAAACTTCATGGTGGCCTTAAATGTTCAATGTTTATTATGAGGCTGCCACACTTTTGCTTATCACAAACACGCACACACACAGACAAACAAACACACGTACACACACACACACACGTACACACACACACGTGTATTAAACGTGTGAGCTTTACGTAACTGATATAATTATGTTATGTTTGTGATATTTGATATGAGGTGGAAATAAAAGTTGCTATGTCATTTTTTCTAGTTAATTTTATATTTTTCGCACAAATTTAAATTAAAAAAAAAATAAACACATTTCTGTACGCGTACACACACACACGCACGCACGCACGCACAGACACACACACACTCACAGACACACACGGACACACACACACACATACACATAATCACACAGCTGTACATTCACCAAAACATCTTTCTATAAATAACTACATCCTAATACACGAACATAAGAACAAAATCCTAATACACGAACATAAGAACAAAAACCTAAATTCACACACCCACCACACGCTCACGTAACTAGATACACACACCACACACACACACACACACCACACACACACCACACACACACCCATACACACACACACACAAACTGCTTACACGAAGCTTACTTAACTAACAGAAAGAAAAAAGAGATAATTGAGAAAAAAAATAATTACCAAAACAAACAAAAAATTGAAAAAAATTCAGATAAAGTTTAGCAAAAACTCAGAGGATAAAAAAACAAACAGTTTAGAAAAAACAAAGAAATACAATGAAGTAAAACAAAAAAAATCATTCAAAAAACAGAGTAAAACAATTCCTCTATGCTATTTGCAGTGCACTGAGAAACATATCTACACACATATCTACACGGAAAAGCTTTTGTTGTTGCTGGTTGTTGTTAGTGGAGGTATCGTTGTAGGTACAATTCATTGATTCAATAGGTAGTATTGTGTATTACGTTTTGTGGTGCACATGTGTGTGTGTGTGTATGTTTTGTATATATGAGTGTTTAAACATGTGTGTATATATGTATGTTTATGAGTTGGTGTGTATGTATGTGTTGTATATATATATATACGGGTTAAAGTGTATGAAGGTACGTATGTGTGTGTGTGTGTGCGATGTGTGTGTATTTTTGTACATATGTATGTATGTATGTAGGTTAACATCTCAGTTGAATACATATTCATGATGTATGTATGTATGTACGCATGTATGTATGTATGTATGCATGTACGTATGTGTATTGTTTATAACCGTTTTGGGCATTGGACATTCATTCTGTTGTTGCTACTAGAGTACAAAGGTATTCCTTGGAACGGTACTTTGTATGTATATGTTTGCTGTTCATTGGCGAGTGTAGGATTATCATTTGTATTTTGTATCTGGTTTTGTGAGCTGTATACATGACGGTGATGATGATGATGATGAAGAAAATGTTGGTGATGGTGATGATGGTAATGAAGATGATGATGATGAAGATGACGATGATGATGATGATGTTGAGGATGATGATGATATTAAAGATAATGATGATATTGAAGAAAATGTTGGTAATGGTGATGATGGTAATGAAGATGATGATGATGATAATGATTTAGATGACGACGACGACGATGATGATGATGATAATTATACTAGGAAATATGCATTGTTTCAAATTTGATTTAAACCAGAACGAGCTGAAACATTATATCGACATCGAGCGTAACAAAACAACTTTTTCCCTCATTCTTTCTCTCTCTCCCTTTCTTTCTTTCTCTCTTTCTCTCTCTTTTTCTTTCACTCTCTTTTATTTATCACCTCCTTTTTCTATTTTTTTTTCTTCTCCTCTCTTTCCTTCATTACCCCCTCTCTCACTATTTTTTTCTCACTTTGTCTTTTTTACTACTCTCTCTCTCTTTCTCTCTTTCTCTCTTTTTTTCTTTCCTTTATTCACTCTCATAAAAACTAATCAATCACCCAATCAATCATCCAATCAATCAACCACCCAATCAATCATTCAATCAATCACCCAATCAATCAATCAACCAATCAGCCAGCCAGCCAATCAATCAATCACTCTCTCCGACCGATAAACTTATTTAGTTCAATTTTTAAGATGCAAAATAGGCCGGAACCAAATTATAAAAAAAATATTTTGATCAGAATTAATACCACAAAAATTAATTAAAATGATAATACGAATAAAAACAAATAATAATAAAAACAATTATTAATTATAATAAATAGCGGTTAATTTTTCTCTCTGTCATTGTTTGTCGGGATGAGTTCAAATTGAAAATTAAAATCTGTTTCATACCTGGATAGCTTCATCAAGGTGAGGCGTTGTGTTTTTTTCTGCCATTCATTCATTAGTTCATTCGTTCGTTCGTTTGTTCGTTTGTTCATTCATTCGTTCATTCATTCGCCTACCTAACTCAATCTTTTATGTTGACATATTGTAGCGAGATATTTTAAACAACATAGCAATTCAATTCGGTATTCACACTCGTGTTAAATAAATACATGAAACCGAAAAAGAGAGAGAGAGAGAAAAAGAAAGAGAAAGAGAAATAAAGAAAGATAAAAAATAGAAAGCTATCAAGAGAGAGAGAGAGAGAAAGAGAGAGAGAGAGAGAGAAAGTAATGAGTGGATTGTAATAAATTAGTAATATCTGATAACATAGCTAGTGAAAAGTTTTGTTGGTGCATTTGAAATATAACAACGACGATGATGATGATGGTGGTGGTGGTGATTGATGATGATGGTGCCGATGATGATGATGGTGGTGGTGATGATGATGATGGTGGTGGCGAGGATGATGAAGATCATCATCGTCATAGCAAATTTAATGTCCGTTACTAGATAAAACTTTTGAAACAATTAGCAGCAAAGCCTAATCAATAAAATAAATTGTTATCGAGACAGCGCTAAATAAATACATTCCTTGTTTTTTTTTGTCGATTTAGACTCTTTTATAAACCTATGTAAAATATCTATGTTCGACTTGTATTTTGTATCTTTGTTTGACCTAGTTCGTGTGTCTATGTATGACCTGATTTCGTTCGGTACCGGAATAATTTGGCATGAATGTAAAGGTAGTTCTTTTTCAGTCTAGAATTTGTAATCTAGATTGTGTTGTTTATATGTGTGTGTGTGTATTTGTGTGAGTGTGTATTTGTGTGTGTGTGTGTGTGTGTGCGCTTTGCGCGTGTGTGAATAATGTAATGTACTCGTGTATATTTTTGATTGAATGATTTAATATTTAATTAGGTATTTGTTGTGACTAATTTTTTCAACATTCCTCTCTTTTTCTCTTTCCTTTCTTTTTCTTTTTTTTTGGTTTCTCCCTTTCTCTCACTCTCTCTTTCTGTCCTTCTTTTCTCTCTCTCTCTCTCTCTCTCTCTCTCTCTCTCTCTCTCTCTCTCTCTCTCTATTTGCTATGCAAATTATTCAGTTACTTTTGACAATTAAATTGAATTGAAAATTATTTATGTACGTATGTATTATTATTATGATTATTATTATTTATTATAATTATTATTGGTGTGTTTGTAAGCGCCTTTTAATTAATCTCAGAGACGCTAAAGTACATTGCGTGGCCCTTTATTAAGCATAGCAATGAGTTGAGAGAAGAAGACATTAGCACGGGTAAGCTTGGACTTAAAGATGGTCTTTCAACCTCTTACGAAATTGAATAACAGACAACGCAGTATAACGAAGGTCCCTAGGCAAACCATTCCAGACAGCAGGTCCCATTACGGAAAAAATCCTTCGACCAAGAGCCAAGTTTGTGTCAGGTACAAACAGTAAACCTCAATTGAGAGCGTGCAATGTTTGATTCAGCAGTGGCATTGTTCTAGGAATGGCTCTGTCTGTTAAATATTTAGGGGCAACTTTCTTAATACATTTAAAACCGTTAAACATACCTTGACATGTATGTATGTGTGTATATATATGTATATATAAGTGTGCGTAT